TCCACCCCCGCCGATTCACAGCGGGCAAGGGTGCTGTAAGGCTATGTCGGTGCACGTTGGCTATAGATCGCGATGGAGTCTGCGGAGGTGGTGGTGAAGGAGGCCGAGGAGGAGGAGGAAGAAACGAAAGCAAGCGAACGACGACGAGCCGAGGTAGAGGAGAAAGACGGGGGTGTGTGAGACAGAGAGAGAGAGAAGGTTAAGAAGGTGGATGCGCGGAGGTGGAGAGGAATGGGGGATAAACCATGATGTCGTTGATTAATACGGTTTACCAGTAAGTGTAACGGAGTGTGCAGAACGCGCGCTCGCGTCCGCCCTCCGTCCCCTTTCGCCTTCCACTACTAGGACGGCGGCGGCGGCTGCTGCTGCTGCTGCTGTTGCTGCTGCTGCTGCTGCTGTTGCTGCTGCTGCTGCTGCTGCTGCTACTGTCGCCTTTCCTCTCTCTATATCCACTATCTCCGCTGTCTCCACCGCCGACGCCGTCGCCGCCACCACCATCGCCATCGCCGCCGCCACCGCCGCGCACACACCACCTCCGCACACAACGTCTCCGAGCGGAAGCGGAGGAGATACCTCCCTCCACCCCCGGCGAAATTCGTTGCACCAACCGGGAGCCACGTGCCGATCAATGGCGTCTTGCCGCTGGTTGGTCGAGCCAGGAACAACCCCTCGCTCGCTTCTCCGTCTCTCCCTCTCGCGCACCACCGCCACCCCCGCTTGCCTCTCTCTTTCCCCCCCCCTCTCTCTCTCTCTCTCTTTCTTTTTTTCTCTCTCCCTTTCGCCTACTGCTCGTCCTCTTGCTGCTGCCGCTGCTCCCTTACACCTATACTAACCCCTCCGCACTTTCTCTCCTTCCTTTTTACCCCGCGCGAAGGCTCGCCGCGTACCCTCGAGGAGGGTTGATCCCATAAGAGAGGGCGAGCTTTTCTTATGAGGAGCATTGATTGCCAACACCCTCCCCCTTTTGCCCTCTGCCACCCACCCATCCACCACCCACTCGCCACCTCCTCCTTCTCCTCTCCCGCCGACCCGCGCCGCGCCATCTCCCTGCCTCCCCCGCGCACTCACCCTCTCTCCTCGCTCTACTGTGCCGCGATCCGCTTTCCACTTCCACTTCCGTGTGGACGTCTCTTTTCTCCTTTTCGCCCGTGCTCTGTTGTTGCATTATTTCTTCCACTTCTGTTTTTGCTCCTCGCCACTCTCTCGGCTCTCTTCTCGGTTATGGGACAATTATTTGTCTATATGGCGAACATACACGGCGACGAGAAGCGACGCGATTCCGCCCGGGACGGCATCGCCGGGCGAAATCGAGTCGCGAAACGATATATCTGCGATGCGCGAATAATCTCGCGCTACGTAGCGCGGGTTGAAGCGGAAGTCTCGGGAGGAGTATGCCAGCGCTTCCGCTCCAGGAATGCTCGCTCGAATTCTCGCGTCTTCGTTCTCCTCGCGACGAAACGTTGCGCAGACGAAAATTCACGGTAATCTAAGTGTCGTGCAAGTCGCAACGACACGCGGGGAACGGGGAACAACGAGGTGGTGGACGAAGAGGGTATCGCGCGCAGAGGGAATCATGCGCAAACCACCAGACGATCGTCATGAGAGAACAAGTTTATTCGATATATCGCTACCACAGTTCTGACTACACAGTGTAATCGCTACCTTATAATATACCTTTCATTAGACTATCTTTGATTAGCACTGACTGTTTATCAGGAAGGTAATATACAGGTTTCTACAAACAACTACGTCCGCTTCGCTTCTACGCTTCTCGCTTCTCGCGAAATCCAGAGGAATTACGACGTAAATGGAATTATCTCGTCGAATTTGCCGGTAAGCATCAAACCGAATCCGTTCCGCCGTTTCCCTTCGTTGCGATCGCCCCCTTTCGCTTTCTCACTTTATATCTCCCCCTCTCTCTCTCTCTCTCTCTCTATCCCTCCCTCCCATATCTCTCTCTCTCTCTCTTTCTCTCTCTAGATCTCTAGTATCATTACAACGTATTCTATTTGATGATTACGGCTATCGTACACATGGCAAAGATCTGAAATCGGTTAATGTCGCCGGTCGACCGACGATTTGTTTTTTTTTTTTAAGGCATATAAGAGTAGTAGCCGACTCGGGACGAGTTTCTTCGCGTTACTTGCACACGGGGATTAACATCGATATAATCTCGGCGGGACAAATTTCCGAATTTTCGCCGTAGGCGCGGGATAATGTCAGAACAGACATAAGTACGTATCAACAGTCGTCATTTGAAGCTTGTCCTACGCGAGATACCCAAATATGAATTTAGAGTTAGATTTGAGTTTTTTTATTTTAAATCGAGCGCACCATATGTGCGAACTTGCATTCGCAATCGCGATTCAGCTGAGAGATTCACATTTCACTGCAAGGACCGTATTAATAGTTGTCACTTGAAACTTGTTTCATATGAGATACTCAAATTTCCATTCAGAGTTATATCCAAATTTTTCAGTTGACTCATATGATATATGTGGCATCATGTCTGTAACCACGATTCAAATGAAAAACTTTCATCTAATCCCGAACTGAAATCTGAGTGTCAAGTAACGACTATTAAAAGGAGCCTAAATTCAAATCTGAGTATCTCATCTGAGGCAAGTCTCAAGTAGCGACTGTTGATACGACCCCCATAATCGTGAAATCGGTTCACTCGACCGACCGATATATTTCGCGCTTCGTAATCGAGCTCTGTGTCTGACCATACCTCACGCTTTCTCTACTTCGGGATACCCGTCGCAGCTTTGTCGCCACATGAGAGCAAACGCGAAAGCTCCGCTCGCGCGTTTCAGCATCGCAATGTTATCGCGCCGAAAAGAGATCTTTCAGTTTTCGGAATTTCGGCTGTGGAAAGAGCCGTAATGAATCGTTTAATTTTTGAACGAGATCACTGGTGACGTGGGCGATCGAGAGATCGCCGTGCCCCGCCGCTTGAAATCTAAAATCCCCGAGATTATACCGGTATCGATACCCGCTCGTGGTGAATGTTACAACGGATGCGGATGCATACTCGAGCCCGTTCGCGTGGCACGAGCGAGTCGACCGATCGAGCGTATCGAGCAGTTGAATATACAGCGCATCAGGCACGTGTTGGTCCGTCGCGTCTCCTTATGCTCGCGTGGAAGGAAACGAGAGCACTCTCGTGAACCCTTCGCTGCGTATCCCTTTTCTCCTCTCGCGGGCCTTACCGACGCGTCGTTTTCTCGCCGCGCTCATTATTATTAATTTGCATTATGTACACAACGTATCGCGACGTATTAACATCTCGTTTACGTTATACGCTCTCGTAATGAAATTCGAGATGTCGGAAATCCGTCCACCGTCTCCTGTGGAACTCTCTCTTCATCTTCCTCTTCTTCCTTTCTCCCTTCTCTCCTGCAGAACTTTCTCTCTTTGCTATAAATAACGGACTTGTCAACCTCGTCGTATCACGTCTGGAACTTAACGTGGACTCTTTCGTGGAAACGTGGTAGTGGAAGTAGTGTACTAGTGGTGGTGTTGATGTGAATGAGTTCGGCTCGCGCGAGTTCGCGCGGCAATAAGGCAATAAATTAACGAGCACTCCGCGCGTAGAATGGGGAGATTCGAACGTTATCGTGGATTAAATATACGCGAGAAGAAGGTTTATGTGTTTGTGAGTAGGTACTACTGAAGATTATCGTGATGCACACCGCTTATTTACACTGTCCGCGGTTGTAACCAAGTAATCTGCGAGATTGATCGACGGTGCTGCGTTATTCGACGCTTTATTGCATACGAGTATCGGTGTGCTGTGTGTGTCTCGCTTGCTCTCTCCGCTTTTATTCGCTCGAAGAGTGAACTCGAGTCCGGTTATCGGTGACAGAGTATCGGGTATCGGAACGTTCGCGAGCGAGAATGCAAGGGCGAGAAGAAACGTGTCCGCATAAACCGTTTTGCCGAGCGAAGCGAAAGCACCATCTCGTGACATCGCGGTCGTTCTCGTCGTCTTCCCAAATCGAGATACTTACACTCGTCATCCGCCCGTCATCAGACCGTCGGTACCACCAAGATCGGGAAAATACGATAAATCAGGATACAATCGTGATAACGAAAGCAGAGATTGAGAGCAACGCGGCGCTCGATGAGTCCAGTTCTCGATGCTACAGACATAGAAAATCTCGCGAACCTCCGTTGGCTCGGCGATTTTCCAATTCGCAAATCTACAGCTTGCTCTGCGATTCTAGAATCCGCGATTTGACATTCGCGAACCTCTGGTCGCTCCGCGATTTTGAAGTTCGCGATTGACAACTGCGAACCTCCAGTCGCGCTGCGATTTCAAAGTTCACGAATCTACAGTTGCTCTGCAATTCTAAAGTTCGCGAATCTGCAGTTGCTCCGCGATTTTAAAATCTACGACTCGACACTCGTGGACCTCCAGTCGCTCTGCAATTTCAAAGTCCGTGCATCTGCAGTCGCTCTGCGATTTTAAAGTTCGCGAATCGACATACGTCCGGTCGTTCGCGATCCGCCGTTGGACAAGGTGCAACGTGAGGTCCGATTTCCACGTCTATGGCATCGAAATCCGCGACTCAACGCGACAATACCGCACGGACCGTCCAGACCAACGCGATTTGTAAGCAATCGAGACAATCGCTTTCGGGTTTCGTCTACACCGCGTCTACGAGACGACGATTCCGGCGCGGCGATCCTAGGGATCCTCCTTGGTGCTGGGCTGTATCTGGTGCACCACGCTGGGCAGGTGATGATGATGGTGGTGCTCCGGTCGCCTGGAGAGACCCAGCAACGGCGGCAACAGCGGCAGAGGCAAGGGCAGAGGTAGACCGCCGGGGAAGCCGGCGAGGCCGCCAAGTAGCGCCGAGGCGGTCGAGTGCTCTTGCGCCTTCCTGCGAAGCTCGGCCAAGCTGTTGCTGCGGTGGAGGTCGTTGCCGGTACCGGGCTTGCAGCAGCCGCAGATGGAACCGGGCCAGCCGGTCGGCGACCAAGAGAGCATCTCCTGCAGGCTGCCAGGCCGATGCTCGCTGCTGGTCCACAGCGACGGCGTCGTAGAGGTCAACGACGTCGACGCCGCGCTGCTGACCACCTTGTTGGCGAACAGCGGCGGCGAGAACTGCGCGGCCAGGTGCGGCGAGAAGAACAGAGACGTCGGCGGCTCCACCGGCCTGAAGCCAGCGCCTATTCCTGTGGTGCTGGAACAAGTTAGACGAGGGCGGGAAGGGATAAGTATCGTCGGACTCGTGGTCGCGTTCCAGCGGGTAGATTCCGAAGCAAAGCACGAATATGTAAATAATAAAATATAAATAACAAAAGGACACAATAATAAAAAATGTATATGATAACAAAGTAATAATATAATAATAAAAAATGCAAATAGTAAAAAATAAATAAAAAAAGTAAATAAAAATAGAAAGCATCTGGGGTGGGGAAAATTGTGAAAAAAGATTCTCGCTTCTACCGCAGAATTCTCGCGTTTTGAAAGAATGATGAAAGTGTCATAATGCAGTAGTATCAGTTGGTGCTCTGGTTAGAACACTCGTGCTAGTTTAGATTTTTCGATTAGAAAACGGAAATTTTTCTCATCTTGTAAGATGACGTGTTAAAATAGGTATATCTACAGCATGCTATATGTGAGGCCTGTATATTGAAAGAGAAAAATGGTTGATCTAACTAAAATTATAATTATTTTTTATTTCAACCGTATTTTTTAGTTGTTCTCTCACTAATTATATTAGAATTTTATGAAAAAAATGATTTTCTTATCATAATTTATAGTAATTATATATTTATATACGACTATAGTTACTATAGTTACTATGACTATACTTTAGTAACTATGTGACTATAGTTACAAATACCAAACATTTTCTTCCGAGTATATTATTATTATTAATAATCTAGTCACGTACAACTTGCATCGAGTAAGATACTCAGATTTGAATTCAAAGACAGACGTCAGTTCTTCAGTTGTATTGTAATTGTACACATGATGTCGCATCTGTCACGATCCAATCGAATAACTTAGATCTAATTCTAATTTCAAACCTGCGTAACACACGTGTTACAATGATCAAATAGTGGACTATTGACACGGACCTAATTCCGGCGAAAGAATGTCACTTGCTGTTTTCGTTCTCCCCCCCATCTTCTTTTTCATTTCCATATCGTCGTATCAACACGTCAATGTTCACGCTCATACCGGTTCGTGCGGTGCACGACGCTTCAATCGACACGCCGGAAACGATCTTAACTCGTCCGCGAATTAATGCTATTTCAGGCACGGGCGCGATTATCGCCAAAAGGACGTCGCAATTTCGCGCGATTTCAACTACCGGCGTATCAACGGAGAGAAAGCGAGAGACGGACGAATAGGGGAGGATGCCGGAGGAGCGGAGAGACCGCGAGAAAGGGAGGATATAGGAAGGATAGAGGGAAAGGGAGATAGATAGGTAGAGAGAGAAAGAGAGAGAGAGAGAGAGAGAGAGAGAGAGAGAGAGAGAGAGAGAGCACCTCAGATTTTTGTCATACACATTTATTAAATTTCCATTCGTCGCATTTGCACCGGTTAAAATCCGCGGTCGCGCGATTTGTGGGACGCAAGACGCAACGGCGAGAGAATCTCTCGCGCGCTGGCACAAATGGATTAATCCGAATAAAAGCGCCGC